CGGTTGCTTCAGATGCGTCGCCAGTTGACTTGCACTATAGGACAGGTCGGGTCGGCAGGTTACTGCTGCAAATAGTAGGCAGCCGAGCTTCTGTTGATACTCCTGGATTTGCTTCGCGGGGAGTTTTGCGGAGGCGCTGTTGTTGTTTCCGTAGCGGTAGGGAGTTGAGGCGGTAGCCGGTGTTAGTCCGAATTTCTTCGCGACAGTGCCTGCGTACTTTCCAGCGTGTAGGTAGAACGCCGAGTTGTCTTCGACGATATTTAGTCCCAAGTACTGGGTCACTGAGTCGGACACTGTGAGCGTCAGGTCCCCTTTCAGCTCCCCTTCGAACCAGGTGACGATGTCGGTGGTAGAACCGATGTAGAGCAGGTCGTCGACGTAGACGATGAGCAGAATGTAATCTCTTCCCTTCTGCAGTCGGTACATGCCTTGGTCATGTGGTAGCTGTAGGAAGCCGATTTTTACGAGACGGCTGTGAAGATGCTGCTGCCAGAGCCGCGGGGCTTGCTTGATCCCGTATAGGGATTTTGTCAGTCGGCATATTTTCGTGGGGTCGTCGATGAATCCGTGGGGTTGTTCGACGAAGATCTCAGCGTCCACAGGTGCGTATAGGAACGCATTCGCGACATCGATTTGGCGTAGTGGTAGTGTTTTCGTGGCCGCGACGGCGAGTAGGATGCGTAATGAGGTGTGACGGGAGACTGGAGCAAAGGTTTCTGTGTAGTCGGTTCCGTATCGTTGATCGAAGCCTCGTACGACCCATCGAGCTTTGAATCGTTCGATGGAGCCGTCTGAGTTGGTCTTGATGCGGTACACCCATTTCCCCGAGAGAACGTTCTTCCCGTTGATGCTCGTTGCAGGTACCAGTTTCCATGTTTCTCGGTCTTGCAGAGCTTTTAACTCTTTTTCCATCGCTTCCTTCCATTTTACCTTATGTTCCCCCCCCAGAGCCTGCGACAATGTTGAAGGCTCACGCGTAGAAGGCGGCGGCGGATGCTGGACGGAGACCCAGAGGCCTAGAATCTGGAGTCCCGTGGGTGTGTGTCGAGGGGAATTGTCATTCCCGGAATAAGCTGCTTCGTCACCGTCTTCGGGGTCAGGTAAGAAATTGGGGCCGATGCGTTCCGAAATATTCGTGTCGACGGGGTGAGGTGTAGCGTAACCTTGGTCGGCGAAGTGGTAAAAGGTGTCGAGGTTGTTGCTATCGAGGGGATTATCTTCATCTAGTGGAACAGGTACGGAACAGAATGGGAGTGGCCCGGCAGCTTCCGAGGCTCCAGGTACGTCTTCTTCTGCTGCGTCAGCTTCGGCAGCACGATCGGCGAAGGAACGAAGTCCCGAGAGGCCGTCGGTGGGGTCTTGTGTGTTGGCAAGGTTGTCCAGGTAATGCTGCAGAGTCAGTCGTTCGTAGAAGATAACGTCTCGTGATGCCACCGTGTTTTTGTCTTGTATGTCGAGAATTTTCCACGCGTGAAAATGTTTCGCGATGCCGAGGTGGAGTCCCCACCGAGCTCGTTGTGTGAAGCGTCCTGCTCGGGCTGTGTGGGGTCTGTACTGTACCATGCAGCCAAAGACTCTGAGTAATTTTGTGCTGCCCCTTTTTCTTGTCCACAACAGGTGCGGTGATGCGTTGTTGGGAAGTGATGACGAGGACAGCAGGTTGTGCAGGTGAACAGCATGTGTCATCGCGTCTGGCCACAGTGTGGTTGGCAGTCGCATCCCCTGAAGCAGTTTTCGCATCGTCGTCTGCAAGGTCCGATTCATGCGTTCTGCTACCCCCTGCTGTTGGTGAGCATAGGGCAGGGACACCAGGCGTCTGATTCCCCTTTCCGCCAGATAGGTCCTGAAGCGTTGTGACTGGTATTCCAGTGCACCGTCTGACTGGAAGCTCTTGAGTTTGAGTCCTGATTCTCGTTCGGCGATGGGGAGCCATGTTGTGAAGGCTTCGAAGGCTTGGTCGCGCGTTTTGAGATTGAAGTGCCAGACATATCTGGTTGCGGCGTCGATGAAAGTGATGACGTAGTTAAAGTCGGCTTCGGCGTCGTCTCGAGGCATGTTTAAAATATCGCTGTAGACTTTTTCCATCGGAGCGTAAGTAGGTGCGCTTGGGTTGTGATGGGATGGAAAAGGTTGATGAGGAAGATCTGCTTCGGGGCATGTGAAGCACCGTGCGCGTGGTCGTCGAAGTTCTTGACCGCTCGTCGTCAGAAGGGCGTTGCGTTCTAACACCTCTGCTTGGATTGTTTGAAGTATTGTGCTGTTTGCAGGGTGTCCGAGGCGTTGGTGCCAGATGTCGTCGGGAGCACGGTGACCGGGCGAGCGGTGGTAGATGTCGGCGTTGGAGAAGAACGCGACGACCGAGGCGGGACTTCGACAAGCTTCTCGTGTGGCGGGCATAAGTTGGTCTGCTTCCGTTGGCGGTCCTCGTGTTGATGGTGGTGGTACTCGGCTGGGTCCTGCTGCCGATACTGCAGGTGATGGTTTTGTTGGGACACTTGCGGGTACTTGTCTTTCTTGTCTGATAACTGCTAATGCTCGTGTTCTCTCTGCTGCAGGTATGGTGTTGGAGTGCCAGAAGCCGTCACTGTCGAAGTCGGGATCAAGATCTGGCGGGTGAGTCCAGGCGGCGAACGATACGATGCCATCGCTGTCGGCAGTTCCGCGGTCGGGGACGAAGTCCAACACGAAGACACCGGACTTCAGGAGGGCACGACCGATGAAGAGGCCGCCCTTCCCGTGGTAAAGCCGGAACTCGTTGGAGTAAGAGTCGCACTCCAGGTGAATCCCTTTGGCCATTAGTTGGCTTACGCTTAGTAGATTGTATCCCAGGTTGTCGACAATGAGCACTTTGTTGAGCTGCAGTATTACGTTTGTTTCCATGGATTGTAACTGAACCACGCCTTGTCTGTTTGTCTTCAGGTTTTCGTTGTTGGCGACTGTGATGACGACGTCGCGGTTGAGTCGTTTCTCCTGTTGCACGAAGCGTCCCGAGGAGCACATGTGTTGACCGCAGCAGCTGTCCAAGAACCAGGTGTTTCGCCCGGTGGGTTCGGCGTTGGCGACTGCAGCGTATGTCGGGTTGACCTGAAGTCCTTGCGAGCGCGGCGGCGGGAATTCCTCTTCGTCTGGTGCGTAAGTGGGTGGTGAACCGGGTGCGCAGTTGTCGATGTGTACCATGCAGTTGATGATGTTGGGTGTTTGTTGTGCAGATGTTGAAGAGCGCCTTGGAGGACTTGCTTGAGTGGAAGCGACTTGTGGGTCTGCTGCACGGTAAACGCGAGGGCGGTTGCAGTTGACTTTGGAGTGCCCGGAAGTCTGGCAGTTGTGGCAGAACGGCGGTACGATGGTGAGTCCTCGGTTGTCGCGTTGATCTTGCTTGCTGCGTCGGTTGTAGTTGTTGTCATTTCTTCTTTGAGTGTAGAAGACTAACTGCTGTTGCTTCCTTGGTTGTCTTTCCTCGAACAGATCCATCTCCTGTTGTTCAGCGTGAAGCTCGGCGCAGAGGTGCATCTCCGAAATTCTTCCGTGGGCTCGAAGAAGTGATCGTGTGGTTCTCCATTCTGGCCCGAGCCCGGCGAGGACAAGTGTCACGAAGCTTTCTTCAGTGATCGTTCCTCCGCACCGAAGCAGGCGGTCGCGGAGGGTCTGGCAGCGACTCATATACTGCATCGCCTTTTCCCCGGTCTTCATCTGTATTGTTGTCAGCTGTTGCATGAGTCTGCTTTGTGTCACGCTGTCGTTTGCTTGGTAAAGGCACTTGAGGTGGTGCCATGCGAGCTCCGCGGAGTTTCCATAACTCCGATACGTTCTGATGCTCTGCTGCTCTTGTGGTGACAGGTTTCTCAGGAGTACCGTGTACGCCAGCAGCGACTGATATGTGAAGATCTCTTGTTCCTTCCCAGTGTCGTTGCTTGGGAATGGCAGGGACCCGTTGAAGTATCCCAGAAGATGCGCGGCCTCCATCAGCAGCTCGAACTCGAAGCTCCAGGTAAAGAAGTCGTGTCCGTTGAACGGTGAGGATGTCTGAAGTTTGATCACGTGTGAGAACTGCGCCTGTAAACTTAAGATTTCATTCGGTGTTTGTTGTGATGCAGCTGCTGTTGGCTGGGCACGGGGCGGCATGAATTCGAACGTCCCCGGCGAAGAATGATAAGGCGCAAAGGTAGGCGCTTGGTTGTGTCGCCCGAAGGATGAGTTGTCGAGGCTCATCGGCGCTAATCCCATATTCCCTCCATTGCTCTGTGTTGAGTGCGCAGGTGTCCTTGTCTGCTGCTGCTGGTCGAAGTGTGACATGAAGCTGAAGAATCTCTCCATGAGATTCGGGTCCACACTTGAAGAGGGAGACGGAGTCACCATCTTTGGTACTCTTCCCGTTGTTTCTTGAGTAGTCCCGGTCTCTGTCTGCAGTCCTGAGGTGTGCAGACCAGAGTTGCCGTGTTGAGTTTCTTGGGCGCTGGGTGAGCCCGTAGAGACTTTCTTGCCCTTGTTGTCCATGTCTTGTAATCAATGGAGTTGTTGAATCAAGTTGAGTTGCTGGTTGTTGATGGAGTGTAGTTGCTGGGAGTTTTGGTCTCTGACCAGCTCTCATACCATGTTGGGCTGAGAAAAGCCCTTAGGATCTTTTGCAGAGACTAAGTCCCAGCTGTAGAGACTTGAGACTTGGAGTAGTGCAGCGGAAGTTGAGACAGTTGAACCCTTGTACTAGTATGTGAGAACAAGTGATTGATTAAAGAAACAAGCATACAGCAATATATAGAAGATAAGAAAGCAGTTGCAGAGTACAGTTACAGGAACGGTTTATCGAGTCGCATAGCGACTCGATTGCCGCTTCGGTTACCATCCGTGATGCTGTAACGGTCAGTCGCAACCTCCAGTTGCGACCCTTTGAGTCCCAGACCCTTCGTGTTCTTTGTCCGCCCCCTCGTGTAACCTCCGTTGACTCGCGTACCCCTTGCAATCTTCCTCGAGTGTAGTGTTACACTTCAGAAACGCTTAAGTCTTTTGATGTACTTTCAACATAATTTAACAACATGAGAAATGACAGTATTACCCCGAATGCTTGTTTACCAGTTTCCCAACTTCCTCAAGCTAGAGCTGTGCAAGATTGAACTTGTTTTATTCCTGCCTTCATTGGACAAAATCTTCCAGCTGGTTTAAGTTATGAAGGTGCCTGGACACGAAGGTTGCCGCTCCCAAACTTTGCTGTCCACTCTTCATAAGCTTTCAACTCGCTGTTAGCCACAGAAGGATTGACCCTTTGCAGTGCATCCCGGAAGTCCTGGAAGAGCAACCGTCATTCACAATAAGATTTGCTTGTTGAATGCTGAAACAATAACTTGAGAGAAGACCTTACCTGAAGACCAACAGGCCTGATATCACCCTTCTCCATTTTGTCAATCCGACCAGAAAGAGCAGCTTCTCTCAATGGCATCATAGCTGCTTCTCGAACAAGATGCCGCATGTCTGACCCTGAGTATCCTGCAAGAGAAAGTTATGAAATCAAAACCAGCCTCTAACAGGAGCCGAATTCAAATAGCCTGTGCGAAAGTGAGCAGACCTTCTGCTTCCTCAGCTATTGCGTCCATGTCTGCCTCAGACAGTGCCAGAATGTCATCCTTTTGAAGAAGGTTCCGGACAATTTCTTTCCTTGCAGCTGTGCAGAAGATAACAGTATGAGACAAGAATGGCAAACTAAATATCCACTAAAATAGAACTGCGGGGCCTAACCTTTGTTTGGAAGGGGTATGTAAAGTCGGTTGGGCATGCGCCGCCTTGCAGCTTCATCAAGTTCTTGAGGCCGATTTGTTGCTCCTGCATCGAAACAAATCAGAGAGGAAGTTCAGATAAGCAAATCCAGAGGTACAATCCATGGAGCCACCACCAACGTCTAACCAGTACTTTGGCTGAAAAGAGAAAAGAAGAGGAATGATGCTGTACATTTCGCTGCTTAGCATGCAAAGACTTCATGCAATTTGTTACATTGATTCGAACATAAACAGAAGACTAGAAATATGCAATGATGCACAATCAATCAGAATGAGATATACGGAACAAGGGACAGGATGGAGGAAAGAGGCCGCCGAAGGAGGAAGAGAGAAAAATAGAGAGATGGAGGGAGTGATGGGGCAAAGGTAAGAAGGAAAATGCACAAAGGTATGCACCACTTACCAATGACTAGAACATGGCGGTCTCCCGTCCCACATCCTTCCATTTCGATAAGAAATTGTGTCTTCAACCGGCGGCTGGACTCATGCTCGCCTTCTGATTGGCGCTGGCCATAAAAAAGACCAAGGGAAGTGATAGTGAGAGGTTAAGTGGACATTCGAAACAAGATTTTCACTGTTTCAGATGAGCATGGTCAAGAATAGAAAAAAAAAAAAAAACATAAATCTCATCAAACGAAGAATTGTAAAAAAAAAGGTGGGCAATCAGGTCGAGAATGTCGCTGTTTACCTGCGATAGAAGTGAATCGATCTCATCAATGAAAATAACCGCTGGCTCCTTGCAACTCGCCACACCAAAAAGGGCACGCACAAGTTTCTCTCCTTCGCCGATCTGACACAAGAAACACAATTCAGAGTAGTCCCGTCATGTACCAGCCCTCGTTTCCCTGCAGAAAGTGCACTCAGCATACTCACCCATTTGCTTGTCAAGGAGCTGGCAGATATAGAGAAGAATGTTGCTTTTGTTTCACCAGCGATGGCCTTACCAATCAAGGTCTTGCCTGTTCCCTGAAAAGTTCGAAAGATGTTTCAAAATGGCAGCTTCAATCAATGTGCACTATCCTTTTGGTCTGAAGACAATGGTCGAACTCACAGGTGGTCCATACAACAAAAGCCCAGAAACCGGTGCCCTGGTGCCTCGAAACAAGTCAGGTCGCTTCAGCGGCCAGATAATAACTTCAGTCACGCACTGCTTTGCATGCTCCAGACCGGCTGCAGCTCACGAAGAATAGATTGTTAAGGCGCAATTGAAACAACTACTGGAAGCAGCAAGGCGCCACTTACCAATATCACTCCATCGTGTATTTGTATCTTGTGTCATGATCTCATTGCAAATCTGCTCTATGAGGCGAGGTTCAATGTTCTTCAGTGTATCAGGAAGCTGTCCGTCCTCGTCCTGCAGCTCTTCCAAGCTGCAAAGTACGAGCACGAAATCGTCAGCAAAAGATCATACAAGCATGGTTGCAATGTCGCAGCAAAAAGTACCATCTCAAGGTTGACTCGTTCATCCCAGGGTCCTTGGATGCTGCTTGACGTGGCAAAGTGCCGCCATTTGCTTGTTGTGATGCCCGAACAGGAGAAACAAAACCGCTACGAACACCTCTTTTCGACCCTGATGGATCATGCACACCATGCTGCCTGGACGGGGTTCTTGAAGATTTGGCTGCAGCGTTGTCAGGCCCTTTCTTTGAGGAGTTCATGGCCTATTTTAGAGGGAAACAGTGTTGTTATCAGAACATTACAAAACGCTACAGAAACAGACAACTGAAGACACGCATACCAGTCTCTCGCTTGCCGTACGAAACTGTGACTTGAACCTTGGCTCAACATCCTCAACATCATCATCAGCCACCAAGCGAGATTGCTTGTAACGTTTATTGGCCCGATGTGGCTTCTTCCATGAAACATCTTCGTCCGAACCTTCAGAAGCATCATCGTCCAACAAGATAGGTCGTTGCTGATTACGCTCCTGTTGGTAGGATGGTCGCCTTGGAAGTGGAGGTAATGAACCTTTTGGTTGACCACTGAGATTCGATGCATAGCTATTGCGAGTCTTTGCTGATTGCGACACAAGAACGCTAGAGCTATGCTTATCTGGTGGCATTGCTTCACTTGGTCCAGAAAAGGCTGTAAACGGCAGCTGCTGGGCACCGGCAACTGGAGCACCTTCTCCTGGAATGGCACTACGCTGCACCTTGGCGATAGGCTCCTGCATGAGAACATTTTGGAAGGTATGAGTAAAGAGATTGTCGCTGGTGACTTGAGTAAAATGAGAACACGAACCTCGTCATCCTCCCAGACAACCTCATCGTACGGTGGCAGACTTCTTAGTTTGCTTAGAGATATGCCGCGCGATGGATCGTTCAAGCTGATCCGGAGTCCAGGTTGGCCAGTTTGAAGCAGAATATCGCTGCACAAGAAGGTCCGACGCGTTTGCTTGAATTCACTCATGAAGAAGATCATCAAATTGCAATCAACGATAAGGTAGCAGACCTGTCGTCTGTTGACCGGCACGACGTCAGGTGCTGATACGCATTCGATCGAAGGTCACTGAAGTGGGACACGCTTGACAAATCGCCATGGAAGGTACTCACAGAACCCAACAGCTCAAGGCATGTGCTGCGTGAGCATTGCAAATCCGTGGTGTCTCTAGAAGTCTGTAGTTCGGAGAGAAGGGAACACAACCTTGAAAGGCTTGAGCGCAAAGGAGCTTCACTTTCCATGGCTGCGAAAGGCGACGCGCTACGCTCTTGCTTTGCCCTCGACATTAGCCACTAAGACTTGGAGACTGCTTCTGAAACAGGCTTCAGGGATACGCTCCGTCAAAATGATCGTGGAGTTGTATTTGGAGATGAAATGGAAATTTGAATATCAAGATCGGCTAAACCTGATTGAAAGATTTACAGGTGTTACGTAACCCCGGTTTTCACGAAGTCCCCGAAACAATCCCCTTTCGCCCGTTTTAACTGTTGTTGCAGTGTGGTGGTGGTCGTTGTGAACACCTCATCTCTTTTCTGCTCTCCTCAAAGCCTTCTCGCATCCTCTTCCCCTTTCCTTTTCCCAGTTCGTCCTCAGGGGTTTCTCTAGGGCTCTTCATTGGCTGCAGGCAGCCCACTAGGAAGCCATGGTCCACGTCGCCTTTTATCGCAACTGTGAGTGAGAGGATCCACTGTCCTGGCGCGCTTTAGCTATAGTAACGTCCTGTTTAGTGGCGCGAGCCTGGTGATACCACTGCAAGCCGTCGTTGGTGGCGGCACATCATTTTGCAACATACCCTAATTCTTGACGGCCTCACTGTCAGGAGGTTCTACGAATGCTTCAGTTACAGTCTTACTTGTCGCATTAGTTTCCTTCACGGGCGTGTCATACATGTGCTGCTGTCTGCGTGACGGAATCGTAGCCTCCATGCGTATAATCTTATCCCTGCCTGACCGAAATAGCTGACGGAGTCGTGGTAGTATAATTTTAAAAAGAAAAGGACACTTGACGAGTGGACCAAATAGCTTGATCTAGTTGTTCCGTTTGTTGACCTGATTGTTTCCTTTTCTACCCGCAGATGGCAAGACCTTCAAGAGGCCGCGTCGTCCGTTCGAGAAGGAACGGCTCGACGCGGAGCTGAAGCTGCTCGGAGAGTACGGTCTGCGTTGCAAGCGCGAGCTGTGGCGCGTGCAATACGTTCTGTCGCGTATTCGTAAGAACGCTCGCGAGCTGCTCACGCTCGACGAGAAGAGCACTCGCCGCATCTTCGAGGGCGAGGCTCTGCTGCGCCGCATGCACCGCTACGGTCTGCTGGAGGAGAGCCAGAACAAGCTCGATTACGTGCTGGCGCTGACTGTCGAGAACTTCTTGGAGCGTCGCCTCCAGACCCTTGTCTTCAAGACCGGCCTCGCCAAGTCCATCCATCACGCCCGCGTCCTGATCCGCCAGCGCCACATCCGGTACGCGCTTTTCACTTGGAATCTCCGTGCAGTTTTGTTGACCGCTGCGTTTCTAGAAAAGTTCAAGGTCATTAGGCGGGCAGCGCCTTGTATTGAAGGTAAGAAGTCATGTCTTGGGGGAGGATCTAGGGTTTCTAGCAAATCGTTTTTTTTCCTCGTTTAGAGCAATTTTCCAGATCCTTGCCTTCGAGTACTCGATCGCGCTCCCCAACTTACCACATAGATTCGAATCAGGCTGTCAACGGATAGTTTGAAATAGTGCCTCTTGTAGCAGATGCGCGTCTCTTCTGCACCCAAGGCAAGCGCGTGCGTGTTTATGGGCAGGAGAGCATTAGCACAGTCGTAGTTTTTAAAATACAAATGTGTGGTGGCGAGGGTCCGCATCGAACCTTTTCCTGTCCTGTTTACCATGAGCCCCAAAACTCCACCGCTCTCTTTCCAGTCCCTTCGTTGTTTCATACGCCAAGGCTCCCACGACGTGATTCTCTTACCGTCCTCACGACGTGATTCTCTTACCCCTCCTCACGACGTGATTCTCTTACCCCTCACGACGTGATTCTCTTACCCCCCCTCACGGCGTGACTCCCGTACCCTCCTCACGGCGTGACTCCCTTACCCTCCTCACGACTTGACCCTCTTACCCGCACGGCTTGCTGTCTACTGCATGCCTTCCTAGTTTCTAGCATTCCCTGACGTGTTGAGGTTCCTGTCTCTTGCCATTCTTGTGGTTTCTTCAGGGTGGGGAAGCAGATTGTGAACATCCCGTCCTTCCTCGTGCGACTTGAGAGCCAGAAGCACATCGACTTTGCTCTGACCAGCCCGTTCGGCGGTGGCAGGCCAGGCCGTGTGAAGCGCAGAAACCTCAAGGCTGCCTCCAAGAAGGGCGGTGAGGATGGTGACGAGGATGAGGAAGAGTAAATGCACACATGTGTAGGGCAGCTAGTTAAGGGTGTCCTGACAATGCAGGCCATGCATGCTATCGGATGTAACGCCTTGTTTCATGGCTGAAGAGTTGACCATGAAATGAAATCACTCGTTTTTGTCAGAAGATTTGCTTGCAATGTGTATCTGCTGTAGACTTCTCTCTCATGTCTATACTTCCGTTGCCCTTCTTGATGGAACATTGATATATGTAGAACTCGTCATGGTTGAGGAAATTCAAAATGTTTCGTTGACGATCTGACAAACTTGACGAAAAGGCTGTAAGGATACATTGAAAGTGCACCTCAATCGAGTCCAGTTGCAGCGAGTCGCTCGCTTGCTCAGCTCAGCATTGATCTCTAGCCAAGCTCGATCGGCCGCCACATAGGCGTCTCGATCAGCCTCATGAAGTGACAAAGCTAGGCAGGCTACCGCGTCGTGATGGCTAACAAATACCCTAATTTTAATGAAGATAAAGGTGATCGCTGCGAATATTTCCTTCCCATCCGAATAGTCGCCCCACAGTACCCTCTGCGACACTGACTGCTCACCTGTTATTGCGAATTCGCACGATTTTGATTCTCCCGTCTGTCTGCTCACATTCTCTCCCGCAAGCCCCACACGTCGCTTGCGTTCCCCTCACGCCTCCCCGTATCCTCCTGGCCCTACCCTTCCCCCCCACCCCCCCCCCCCCCCCCTTGTTCCTTCCACTACTCTGTGCACTCTCTCCGCCCTACCTCTTCATCCCTCTCCCTCCCCCCCCCCCCTTTCCCCCTCACCCCTCCCCCCGTTCCCTCCGTTCCCCTTGCTACTCTCCTTTTCTACCACTTTTCCCCCTGGTTACTCCCTCATTTCCTTTCCTTCTCACTCTCCTTTCCCAATCACAAATAGATACGCACTCTTTCCCTCTCGTCTCGCACCAGCCCTTTCACTCTTGAAGTCCTCTGTCCCCCCCCTCTTCTTCCCCCTGTCTCCCTCGCAACACAGAGGAGTGCAGGAAGTTTCTGAGCAACTACCGCGATGAGGACGGCATATTCAAGTACATGCGGCTGCTGGTTAGTCTCTCAGCTGCGTGCCTGCAGCTGTATCGGCTCTGCGGCGCAGGGGCATGGGCATGGGCATGGGCATGGGCATGGGCATGGGTATGGGCACAGGCATCCCCCTTAGCATGCCGACGAGCACCACATGCTCCTCTCCTCCATGCCTCCTTGCCTCTCTGTTATCCTCTACCGTGGGTTCTCACATTTTCATCACTTATTATGTCTTCACCCCTCTCCACTCATTACCCTGCTCTAATCTCTCTCTCATTTTCACCTCTCGCGCTGTGCCCATGTCTCTCACAACTCCATTCATTCGCCTCCTCCCCCGCCTCTCACCCGTTTGCCCATCCCTGTCAGCAAGATGTGGCAGATCGCAAGCTCCACGTCATCAACATCCACATGGCAGATCTCGTCGCGGTCAGCAGCCCCCCTCTCCACCTGCCCGCTCCCTTTGCCTGATCTATCCACCTCCTTTGTGCCCTTCCTTGCATGACTCACTGGTTTCATCTTGACCTCGCACTGCTCGTTCATCCCTCCCATATCCCTTAGCCCCATCTCCTCCACACCCCTCCTCCCTCCTCCCTCCCTCCCTCCATCCCCCCCCTCCCAGTATGGCGGCGGCAGCAACGAGGAGTTCGTAGCGCGCATCTACAGCAACGCGCGGCGCTACATCAGCCTCTTTGCCGAGGCGGCGGACGACCTCATGCCGGACCCGTCGCTGTCGGCGGAGCAGGTGGAGCGGGAGGAGGACGTGTACGACGTGCTCATGCGCCAGCGGGCAGAGCAGCACGCCGAGAACCTCGCGCAGGGCGATGCCGCCGTGGCGGCTGTGGATCCGCTGTACCAGCTGCCAGCTTTGCTCCGACGGCGATTGTGAGTGGTCGCTGTGCGGGTGGGGGCTGGCGTGCAGCAGTGGGCTGAGCGTGCTGTCCACTTCCCTTGTGCATTTGGCCGTGCCCGTCCTCTCCCCCTTGCCTCCCTCCGCCTCGTCTCCTTTCCCACAACCACCTGCACATGGTGCCTCATAACCATCATCCGCCCGCCCCGCCCCTTCCTCCAGCGACCTGCACATCGTGCCAGAGCCGAAGCGCAAGGCGCAGGCGATCCGCGAGGTGGGGGCAGGGCAGATCGGGCGGCTGGTGGTGGTCAAGGGCATTGTGACACGGTGCACGGACGTGAAGCCGCTGCTGCAGGTCGCGACGTACACATGCGACGAGTGCGGGTTCGAGATCTACCAGGTGAGAGGATGATGGATGGGGTGTTTGTGTGCATGTATGTATGTGTGGGTGTATGTGCATGTTTGTGACCATGCATGTGTGCATATGTATCTGTGTGTGTTTGCATGCATGCCTGTGCGTCTTGTTCAAGAGCCCATATATATCTGCTGCTGCATCTGCGGCAAGAAGTTTTCCCCTTTGACTTCCTTTGCTCGGCCTCACAGTAGGTGAAATCGCGCGCATGATCATACCTCGATTCAAGTGCCCCTCTGGGCCCTGCTACATCTTTCAAGTCAGCAAAGAAAGAACCTCCTTCACATGTGCTGTGTGTTGGGGCTGGCAGGAGGTGACAGCGCGCACGTTCATGCCACTGTTCGAGTGCCCGTCCGCGCGCTGCCGCACCAACAACGCACGCGGCCGCCTGCACCTGCACACGCGCGGCTCCAAGTTCCAGAAGTTCCAAGAGGTGTGGCGGGTGCTGCTGTAGGAAGTTGTGTGTGCTTCGAGCAACTGTCGGGGTGTCCGCTTGACTGTGGAGAGGCTTATGGTAGCATGATTTGACCATGGGATGTGACGATAAGGTGGATGGACTATTCTCCAAGCTCCCTTGTGTAGTTGTGGACTTCATGTTGCATCTATTTGTCAGAAATGTCAGGTTCTTTTCACTCGTTTGGATGGCATGGCATGGCACGGCATGGTGTGCCCCCTGGTGCCTGCAGGCGCGCATTCAGGAGCTGGCGGAGCAGGTGCCCAAGGGGCATGTGCCGCGCGCCATGACCGTGCAGATAAGAGGCGACCTCACCAGGCAGGTGCGCTGTGAAGCCACCTCATGTGCACCATCTGGGGAGTTGCTTTATTTCGTGCAGTGGTTGCATTGCTTGGGCCATGCCTGGTGTTCTCAGCACATGTGGTGATGCCGTTACTCAAGGGCCTTTCTGTCAAGTGAACCGCCCCTATCCGTCCTCCCTCCTCCCCCAGGCATCACCCGGGGTGTGGCGAGCGTATCTGGCATACTCGTGCTGGTTCCCTTGTTCTCTCCCTTGCCCATCCGCTCCCTCTCTCCCCCCACACCCCCTTCTCCACCAGGTGTCACCGGGCGACGTGGTGAGTGTGGCGGGAATATTCCTGCCCGTGCCCTTCGTGGGCTTCAAGGCCATGCGGGCAGGCCTCACCGCTGACACATACCTGGAGGCCATGAGCTTCCACCACTTCAAGAAGCGCTTCTCCGAGTGAGTCCATGCTCGCACGGCCCAGTTGGACGAGTCCATGCTTATGGGGCATCAGGGGAGGAAGTCAATGCCACGGACGGGCCTTGCAGCCGCAATGTACCCAGAGGCTGGGCCATGGGTTTTGTTTAGGAATTCCTGGAGGAGGCCATGGTGTTCCACCACTTGGTCGAGTGAGTCAACAGAGTGGCGCGAGGGGCGGGCGTGAGTGCCTGCAGGCATGAGGAGAGGGGGTGCATGCCTATCCAGCGCGCTTGCCTCCTCTGAATGCCTCTCCTCCATCCCCCCAAGCAGGTACGCGAGTGAGCAGACCCCCGAGGAGGCAGCAGCTGTGCGGCAGCTGGCAGCGGAGGGCAGCAGCGACGTGTACAGCCGCCTGGCGCGGTCCATTGCGCCGGAGATCTACGGCCACGATGACGTCAAGAAGGTGCTGCTGCTGCTGCTTGTGGGCGCGCCCACACGCACGCTGCCCGACGGCATGAAGGTGCGTGCTCTGTGGCGTGCTGCTTGGCTGTATGGCATGATGGTGGTCACAGCATGGCGTGCTGGTGGTCACAGCATGGCGTGCTGGTGGTCACAGCATGGCATGTTGCTGCTGCTGTGGCTGCGGCTGCTGCTCGTGGGGGCGCCCATGCGCACGCTGCCCAATGGGATGAAGGTGGGCGTGCAACAATGCCTGGCATGGTCGTCATTGGCATGCGGCCTTATAACCGGGCGGGCATCCATTCCATGTGTGCCTCGTGCGCCGTCGTGCGCTGCGGCCATCTCCTCCTTGTGCGCCATATCCCCTGCGCCCCACTGTTGAGCCCACTCAAAAACATACCTGGGCTGCGTCACATCCACGGGGACGTGCGCGTGTGTCTGATGGCCGACTCCAGGATGGCCAAGAGCTATCATTTTCTACTTCCGCATCGCATCTTTCCACGATGTATCATGTATTCTATTCCGCCCCAGCCGCGGGGACGTGCATGTGTGTCTGAAGGCTGACCCCGGAGTGGCCAAGAGCCCTCATGTCTTTGTTTGTTCCATGGCGCATCCCTTCATGCTGTATGGCGCCTCGTGTCCCCCCCATGCCCCTCAGATCCGCGGGGACGTGCATGTGTGTCTGATGGGCGACCCCGGGGTGGCCAAGAGCCAGCTGCTGAAGCACATAGTGACGGTGGCGCCCAGAGGCGTTTACACCACGGGCAAGGGCAGCAGTGGCGTGGGGCTCACCGCCGCTGTCACCAGAGACACTGTCACGGGGGAGATGGTCCTGGAGGGGGGGGCTCTGGTGAGTGCTGTGTGTGGCTGTGTTAGGATGTGGTTGTGTTGAGCGGGACTCTGTGATGTTGCATTGTCTTGTGTTATTTGTAATGCATCTTTGGTTGCGATGTCACTTGGTGTGTGCCGATGGGTTAATGCTGATGGCGGTGTTGCATCCCCCCTTCCCGCCTCATTCCTTCCCCACGCACGCCCTCACTCTCCCACCACAGTTTTTTCTCTTCCCTTCCTCCTCTACCGCATCCTCCCCCTTCCCTCTCCCCATCTTTCACGGCACCAGGCGCCAGCAGGAATGGGCACCTGCGCCATTGATGCCCCCTCCCCTTCTTCCCTTCCCCATCTCCCTTTCCTGCCCCCTTGGCTACCCCCCCAGGTGCTGGCGGACATGGGCATCTGCGCCATCGACGAGTTTGACAAGATGGACGAAAACGACCGCACTGCCATACACGAGGTCAGAGCCATGAGAGCTCAGCCATACACGAGGTGAGAGTGACGTGCTTCTGAAGTACGTCTTGCTTCACCATCCATGCGGCTATTACCATGTGTCATGTGCCACATGTCAGGTGATGCAGCAGCAGCCTTTTGTTGCACGTACATGTACATTGCAACCATTTTATCCCCGTATGATGTTTCGCATACCATGTGTCACGTGCCCCCTGCCCCCTGCCCCCTGCCCCCTGCCCCCCATCAGGTGATGGAGCAGCAGACGGTGAGCATCGCCAAGGCAGGCATCACCACGTCACTCAACGCGCGCACCGCCGTGCTGGCCGCTGCCAACCCTGCCTGGTGAGTTGGCCTGGGATCACCTGTTGCTGTGCCCAGCATCGCCATATTGCATCACAGGGCAGCTGCTCTCACCCCCCCACGCAACCTCTTCTTTCCTTTCCTCCCCTTCCCCACCCCCTCTTTTCTTGTCTCTTCCCTCCCCCCCCCCCCTCTCCTGCAGGGGCCGCTACGACATGCGGCGCACGCCAGCGGAGAACATCAACCTGCCGCCCGCACTGCTCTCCAGATTTGACATCCTCTGGCTCATGCTGGACCGTGCTGATGTGGACGCTGACCTGGCGCTGGCCCGCCACGTGCTGCACGTGCACCAGCACTCCGCGCCGCCCGCTCTTGACTTTGACCCGGTTGACCCCACGCTGCTCAGGTGATTTAAAACGGTACCCAGGTGATTTAAAATGCTGCTCAGGTGTTTTGAATTTTTTCTCAGGTGATTTAAACCGCTGCTCAGGTGATTTGAAACGTTGCTCAGGTGGTTTGAAACGCTGCTCAGGTGATTTGAAATGCTGCCCAGGTGGTTTGAGATACCGCTCTGATGCTGTGAACCACTGTTCTCAGTTGCCGCAAACACTTGTCAGGTGCTGTGGACCGTTGTCTGTCGATAGTACGTTCCTTATTCTACCCATATTCATGACCACTCACTTATCACAAACTTTCCCACCAAGAGTTATGTAGCAACAGCACTAACATACTGTATGTCCCTCTGTCTCCCTTCCCCCCCCCACCAGGAACTTCATCGCGACAGCGCGCACATATGAGCCGTGTGTGGCAGAGGAGCTGACGGACTTCATCACCTCCGCCTACGCGGGGCTGCGGCAGGAGGAGGCAGCCAGCGACGCGCCGCACACCTACACCACCGCCCGCACACTGCTCTCCATCCTGAGGCTCTCGGAGGTGATGGCATGTCATGGCGTGGCATGCCGCGGCGTGGCATGGCATTGTGTGGCATGGGATGGCATGGCTTAGCATGGTTTGGTGTGGCATGGGTTGGCGTGGCATGGGTTGGTGTGGCATGGGATGGCATGACAGTTTAAGCAAAAGGTGCCATGGGAAAGGGTGGAAAGGCGTGGCACGGTAATGGGTAGACTTGCCAACGGGGGCGCAGGTTGGAGATGGTGGCTTCTTGATTTTGCAGATGTCTTTCAAGCTTATCCCGCATGACCCGCCTCTTTCTCCCCTCCTCTAACTCCTCCACCCCCCTTCCTTGTTCCCGCTTCTGCCTCTCCTTTTGCCCACCTCGTGCCCCCACCCCACCTGTCTACAACCCCATGTAATTCCTTTCCTTCGCCCTCCCTTTCCCCACCCCACCCACCACGCCTCTCCCAGCCCCCCGTGCAGCTGCGCGCGCCGTGCAGCGGAGAACGCCCCTTCCCTCGCTCCCATCCTGCTCCCACTCTCTCCCCCCCCTCCCCAGGTCCTGGCGCGGCTGTGCTTCGCGGCGGTGGTGGCGCAGGGTGAAGGGAGGAGAGACCTCAGAGCACGCCCCTTTCTCCTCCCTCCGGTCTTCTCCCCCCCCCATCCCCCCAGGCCCTGGCGCGGCTGCGCTTCGCGGCGGTGGTGGCGCAGGCGGACGTGGAGGAGGCGCTGCGGCTGATGCACGGCTCCAAGGCGTCGCTGCAGACCGAGGCACGGCAGCGCGCCGGGCTGGACGCCATCTCCGCCGTCTACTCCATCGTGCGCGACGAGGCCGCTCGGGCACGGTCGACAGTGGTGTCGTATGCCGACGCGCTCAACTGGATCACCCGCAAGGTGCGCTGTGCCATGCCGTGCTGTGCCGTGCCGTGCCGTGCGCTGATGTGATGTTTTATGAGCTGCATTGCTGCCTGGCTTGATGGTTGTCTCGTCCCTGTGTTTCGGGGGGGGTTTATTCCAGAGAATCCTGGCTTGGTGGTTACAGTCCTGTGAACGTGCTCGTGAGTCGTGGTTGCTGCTGCCCCACCATTCTCTCCATGTGCGCTCCCTTGCCACGCTGTCGCCCTGGCCTGTCCCCCGTGCTGGGTGCTGTGTACTGTGTGCTGTGTGCTGTGTGCTGTGGGCTGTGGGCTGTGGGCTGTGTGCTGTGTACTGTGTGCTGTGTACTGTGTACTGTGTACTGTGTGCTGTGTACTGCGTACTGTGTGCTGTGTGCTGTGTGCTGTGTTCTGTGTGCTGTGTGATGGGTGCTGTGGGCAGGGCCACAGCGAGGCGGAGCTAAGGGAATGTCTGGAGGACTATGCGGAGCTCAACGTGTGGCAGATAGACCAAGACTCACTAACCATCCGCTTTATAGACTCTTGACCAAACATAGTACTTCGTATATCAGTGTGCCCTGAGTGTAATGGCAATGGCATGGCACTATAGCAAGCAAACTTAAGTTTCTGGTTTAGTGCATTCACAAACACCTCAACCAGATCCCCTTCGGCAAATTCGCCGGCGCATGGATCTGGAACGCACACATTGAATCTAGATTCCAGCCTGCCGCTACCTACGGTACGTTCCTGCTGCTGCCTCGCAATCTGATGGTGTTTGTCTCCCTGTGCGCTGCGAGGCCGCCACTGGTGCCCCCCTCACCACGTTCCCCCGGGACCCGGTGTCTGGCCTGTTCACGCTGGACACCGCATCCCCCCCCGGTGGGGGCGTCCCCCCGCAGGTGGCTGCGTCTACCCGGGTCGCTGCGGCTTGTTCGTATCGGTCCCCCACTCACCCGTCGCTTCTGTGGCACCACCGCTTCGGTCACCCCGCTCTCCCGCGTTTGCGTCACATGTCCCAGCACAGTCTTGACTTAGGTCCCCCTTCGTCGCTCCCAGCCGTCCCTCCCTCGCCCGCACCTCCGTGCACGCCTGGCATCGAGGGCCGGCTACGCCGTGCTTTTCACTCCTCGTTTCTCCCCACCACTGCGCCACTCCAGATCCTGCACTTGGACGTCTGGGGCCCATCCCCTGTTCCTGGGCCATGTCGCAAGCGCTACTTTCTAGTGCTCGTAGACGACTACACGCGCTACACCACTGTGTTTCCCCCGGAGCAGAAGGCCGACGTGCGTGGTGTTCTTATTCCATGGCTTGTAGCTGCACGCATGCACCGCACCCTACCCGTGCTCCATCTTCACTCCGACCATGGCAGTGAGTTTGCCTCCGGTCGACTTGGCCAGTTGTGTCGTGCGGAGGGCGTCCGCCAGTCGTACACACTGTCAGAGTCCCCACAGCAGAATGGGGTCGCTGAGCGACACATCGGTTTGTTCATGGAGGTGGCTCGTACTTCCGTGATCCATGCCTGTGCACCCCATTTTTTGTGGCCGTCCGCAGTGCACTATGCCGCTCACCAGCGTAAATTGTGGCCACAATCCCAGCGGCCGCAAGTTTTGCCGACCCTCCTCTGGATCGGATCCCCTTGTGACGCGTCTGCATTTCATGTCTGGGGCTTTCGGGGTCTGATCCTTAGGCTAGAAAAAAATGAGATAAGTGTAGCTACACCTAATAATTTCTAGCTCAAACTTTGTATGCTTCAAAAGCTTCCACGCGACAATAGCTCGCCCGTCTTCAAATCCGTATGTGATTTTTGAGTTGACTCAAAAAGGTGATTTTTGAGTCGTCAAAAAATCACCCATAATGATGCCAACCTTCCAGCTGCTTCTGCTCCCTTCTCTGCTGCTTCTGCCCGCCTTCTTGCTTCTTCCTATCCCCCCCTTGCTGATGCTTCTGCCTCCCTTTGTGCTGCTTCTGCCTCCCTTCGGGCCGTTTGTAATCTCACGCTTGCGGTTGCTCTGGCCTCCACATATTCTGCTACCTCCCGCAATATTGCTGCTATGGCCGCCGTTTCCGTCCCCTCACCGGCTGCTGTCCCCCCACCGGCTGCTGTTCCCCCACCGGCTGCTGTCCCCCCAGATGATGCTGCTGCCAATTTGCTGGTGCTGGTGCTACAGCCCGTCGCGCTGGCACCTCTCTTTTTGGTACTGCTGCTACGGGTGCTGCTTCTGCCGTGCTGCCTCCTGCTGTTGCTGCGTTTGCCATTGCGGTTGGTGCTGTGGCTGCTATTGCGGCTGGTGCACCGGCTGGTGTTGCGGCTGATGCTGCAGCAGGGGCTGCGGATGGTGTTGCGGCTGGTGCATCAGCTGGTGCTGCGCGTGGGGCTGCAGCTGATGTTGCAGCAGGGGCTGCGGATGGTGCTGCGGCTGGTGCATCGGCTGGTGCTGCGGGTGGGGCTGTGGCTATGGCTGCTGGAGCAACCATTGCTCCTGGGGCTGCTGCTCCTCCTCTTGCTGCTGCATGTGCACCTGCTCTCGCTGGGGCGGCGGCCTGTGGTGAGAGACTATGACAGAAAAACCTGCCGTGGGCTGAAGCCCTCGAGCTCGCATGTGCACGCAAGCTGCTGCGCCAGCTGGAGCGACCACCTCCTCCTCCTCTCCTTTCCGTGCCTGCTTGTTCCCGGGCCGTCCTTCTCCTGCTCCACCCTCCCTCGCACCTCCGCCTTCTCCTCCTTCCTTCTCCGCCCTCCGCTTCTCCTCCTTGTTTGCCTGGCCCCTCATGCGCGGACCCGCCATCCATGAAGCACGCCCCGTAGCACCAGAGACACCGTCCCTTTGGGCACCACGCACTGCAGAAGCGCCCGAGGCATCCAAGTCGCTGTTAGAGCTCGAGCCTCCCAGGATCACTTGCCCTCCGTGCGGGCTTCTTGACGGCACCACGCACACTTAGACGGCAGCTGCACGGACGGGGAGAGGGGATGCACGAGAGTGGGCAGCGTGAGGTAGGAGTAGCGAGATGTGGGATCGGCCACACATGGTAACAAGGGCCCAGACTAACGACCCTCATCCACTGCGCTATTGCCACACAGCGCTGCTAGCCCTCAGCGCCCTCCACGGCTCACAGCGCCACCGGTGCCGCGCTATTCCGCGCGTCTACCCACGGAGGTCTATCGCGCCTAGGTCCTTCGTATCGCCACATTGCTGCGATCTTGCCTAACGACACCGCAACCCGCGAGTCACCTAGTAGGCTTCCATGTGGCCGGCGTCGCGGTCAGGTGGGTTCAAGCGCCGCGAAGTAGCCGACGAGGGATTCATGCGAAGCACTTACCGCTGTCTTTCAAACGCTGAAACCTCCACGCGTTCACCTTTTAAAGGCTTAGCTCACGGCGCGTTGCAGGAGCTTGGGAGATCGGGCAATATCACATTTGGACGCTGCTGGAAAACAATTCCCGAAGTTAGGTGTGAAAGAAGTATGACCTCTCAGAAACAATTCCCAAACTCAAAACAATTACTGAATATTGTTCTCTCTTAGATACCGTATTATACTCGGATGGAGCTAGCGCCGAGACAGGCGAATTGTTTTGCGGAAGAATAATCAGGAAACCCACGTAGCACACGAATTGCAGATGCAATGCAAAGGAATTACAGCAGTAAACATCTCGAGACGTGTGAAGCCCTTGACCTGCGGGCGTGGTACAAGTAGTAAGAGTCGGGAATCGAGGATGTAACATCGATCCTCCTTGCCAAACCTTAGGCTTGATTGCAGGCTCGGTTTGCAGCCATCGAGGTAACGAACACCAATCTCGGTTGGGCCACAAGTACCGAGCATGCTGCCCGAACCTGAAATCACGATGCGTGCAAAAAATCGAAATGGCATTTTCAATATGTTTCTATGCAACTGTTGCTTTCGTTTCGCATCTAACATTTTGCCACGCGAAAGTCAAGCAAATCTCTGCATGCGATTTTCATGCAGCTCGCCAGTCCACAATCAATCGTCATCTGAAACACACGTTCACTTCGCGGGTTCTGTCAATAATTAAAGCTATGGTCTTATAATTCTTCCAACTACAGTAACGGAAAAAACTATCCGGATGTTTGGCATTAATTAGGTTTTTTTGGCTTTTCGACCACGGTACATAAAGTCTTAATGTTTAATGGTGGTACGCTTTTGGAGGGGCACATAGTGGATGTGTTCACAGCACTTACGTCCATAGTAGTACACTGCATCTAACTTAGTGCCAAAAGTTATGCAAGGGGGTCATCCGGACAGTTTTTTCCCGGGACAAAGCGTAAACTTCCGAACAGGTTTGTAGTACCTAGTACACTGACCCTTGGCCTTGATCACCACCCGCACCCTCCTAGGCATGTTATCTACGAGTTTAGTGCAAACCGTTGCAGAGATCTTCTCGCACTCTTCCTAGACCCTCCCTTTTGCATAAGGGGGTGAGCACTAGGAAAATCGCGAGGGATTTGAGTGTCTGCAAGTTTTTTGTGCACGGTTTCTGTTTCAATGTTATGTATGAGACTAGCCACACTGAGGTATGACCAAAGATGCCATTAGCCAATTAGTTCCATCCTATCATGGGTCGTCTTCGTCATATCGCTGTAGGGTAAAACCACGAACAGAGCAGCAAAAAATAGTGTATATGCCATGAAACTGAGGGTGACGTAGCACGGTTGATTATTCATCCTTGCACTATTAGAATCACGCTAGGATCTGCATGTCTCATCACGGTGCAGCAGTCGAAGAAGTTGCGACTGTTCGGGAAGAATATCCAGGTTGAGGTCTGGTGAAGAAAAGGGTCACTCCAGTGCAACATACTTATGCTCCCCAATGCTCTCCAAGACATTTGTACAGCATTGGCTTGGAATAGAATTGGAGAGCATGAGTTTGTAGCACTGGAGTGGCCCTTTTCTTCACCTGACCTCAACTTGGATATTCTTCTACAACAGTCGCAACTTCTTCGAATGCTACACCGTGATGAGACATGCAGATCCTAGCGTGATTCTATTAGTGCAAGGATGAATAATCAACCGTGCTACGTCACCCTCAATTTCATGGCATATACACTATTTTTTTCCGCTCTGTTCGTGGTTTTACCCTACAGCGGTACGACGAAGACGACCCATGATAAGATGGAACTAATCGGCTAATGGCATCTTTGGTCATACCTCAGTGTGGCTAGTCTTATACATAACATTCAAACAGAAATCGTGCACAAAAAACTTGCAGACACTCAAACCCCTCGCGGTTTTCCTAGTGCTCACCCCCTTATGCAAAAGGGAGGGTCCAGGAAGAGTGCGAGAAGATCTCTGCAACGGTTTGCACTAACCTCGTAGATAACTGCCTAGGAGGGTGCGGGTGGTGATCAAGGCCAAGGGTCGGTGTACTAGGTACTACAAACCTGTTCGGAAGTTTACGCTTTGTCCCGGGAAAAAACTGTCCGGATGACCCCCTTGTATAACTTTTGGCACTAAGTTAGATGCAGTGTACTACTATGGGCGTAAGTGCTGTGAACACATCCACTATGTGCCCCTCCAAAAGCGTACCACCATTAAACATTAAGACTTTATGTACCGTGGTCAAAAAGCCTAAAAAACATAATTAATGCCAAACAACCGGACAGTTCTTTCCGTCACTGTATTTAATACTTGGTTGGGGA